CCACAAAAGGAAAATGGGATGAGAAAAGAAGGAATCCACGATCTTACCATTTAAAGTTCAGTCTTGCAGGTTTTTGAATAGAAAGCTGTGAAAGGAAAAGGAGATGAGAAAAGTATAGAAAGTAGGAATCCAAGATCGACCATCCAAAGTTCATTCTTGGAGCTGTTTGAAAGCACACTTTAAAAGGAAAATGGCATTAAAAAAGTAGGAATCCAAGATCTTACCATCCAAAGTTGAAATTGCAGGTTTTTGAAAAGAAGCCACAAAAGGAAAATGGGATGAGAAAAGAAGAATCCACGATCTTACCATTCAAAGTTCAGTCTTGCAGGTTTTTGAAAGAAAGCTGTGAAAGGAAAAGGAGATGAGAAAAGTATAGAAAAGTAGGAATCCAAGATCGACCATCCAAAGTTCATTTTTGCTAGTGCTGTGCTAGGACAGTTGGGCAAAACTATAGATAGAATATCCTCTAGAACCATGAAAAGACTGAATTTTTAAAGGATGCTTGGAGTTGAGCATGTATTTGTGGTGTTCCCTGCCCCTTCCTCCACATCTACCCATCCAAAGTTCATTCTTGGAGCTGTTTGAAAGCAAGCTTTAAAAGGAAAATGGCATTAAAAAAGTAGGAATCCAGGATCTTACCATCCAAAGTTGAAATTGCAGGTTTTTGAAAAGAAGCAACAAAAGGAAAATGGGATGAGAAAAGAAGAAATCCACGATCTTACCATTCAAAGTTCAGTCTTGCAGGTTTTTGAATAGAAAGCTGTGAAAGGAAAAGGAGATGAGAAAAGTATAGAAAAGTAGGAATCCAAGATCGACCATCCAAAGTTCATTTGTGCTAGTGCTGTGCTAGGACAGTTGGGCAAAACTATAGATAGAATATCCTCTAGAACCATGAAAAGACTGAATTTTTAAAGGATGTTTGGGATTAAGCATGTATTTGTGGTGCTTCCCTGCCCCTTCCTCCACATCTACCCATCCAAAGTTCATTCTTGGAGCTGTTTGAAAGCAAACTTTAAAAGGAAAATGGCATCTAAAAAGTAGGAATCCAAGATCTTACCATCCAAAGTTGAAATTGCAGGTTTTTGAAAAGAAACAACAAAAAGAAAATGGGATGAGAAAAGAAGGAATCCACGATCTTACCATTCAAAGTTCAGTCTTGCAGGTTTTTGAATAGAAAGCTGTGAAAGGAAAAGGAGATGAGAAAAGTATAGAAAAGTAGGAATCCAAGATCGACCATCCAAAGTTCATTTGTGCTAGTACTGTGCTAGGACAGTTGGGCAAAACTATAGATAGAATATCCTCTAGAACCATGAAAAGACTGATTTTTTTAAGGATGTTTGGGATTAAGCATGTATTTGTGGTGCTCCCTGCCCCTTCCTCCACATCTACCCATCCAAAGTTCATTCTTGGAGCTGTTTGAAAGCAAGCTTTAAAAGGAAAATGGCATTAAAAAAATAGGAATCCAAGATCTTACCATCCAAAGTTGAAATTGCAGGTTTTGAAAAGAAACCACAAAAGGAAAATGGGATGAGAAAAGAAGGAATCCACGATCTTACCATTTAAAGTTCAGTCTTGCAGGTTTTTGAATAGAAAGCTGTGAAAGGAAAAGGAGATGAGAAAAGTATAGAAAAGTAGGAATCCAAGATCGACCATCCAAAGTTCATTTTTGCTAGTGCTGTGCTAGGACAGTTGGGCAAAACTATAGATAGAATATCCTCTAGAACCATGAAAAGACTGAATTTTTAAAGGATGCTTGGAGTTAAGCATGTATTTGTGGTGCTCCCTGCCCCTTCCTCCACATCTACCCATCCAAAGTTCATTCTTGGAGCTGTTTGAAAGCAAGCTTTAAAAGGAAAATGGCATTAAAAAAGTAGGAATCCAAGATCTTACCATCCAAAGTTGAAATTGCAGGTTTTTGAAAAGAAGCAACAAAAGGAAAATGGGATGAGAAAAGAAGGAATCCACGATCTTACCATTCAAAGTTCAGTCTTGCAGGTTTTTGAATAGAAAGCTGTGAAAGGAAAAGGAGATGAGAAAAGTACAGAAAAGTAGGAATCCAAGATCGACCATCCAAAGTTCATTTTTGCTAGTGCTGTGCTAGGACAGTTGGGCAAAACTATAGATAGAATATCCTCTAGAACCATGAAAAGACTGAATTTTTAAAGGATGCTTGGAGTTGAGCATGTATTTGTGGTGTTCCCTGCCCCTTCCTCCACATCTACCCATCCAAAGTTCATTCTTGGAGCTGTTTGAAAGCAAGCTTTAAAAGGAAAATGGCATTAAAAAAGTAGGAATCCAAGATCTTACCATCCAAAGTTGAAATTGCAGGTTTTTGAAAAGAAGCAACAAAAGGAAAATGGGATGAGAAAAGAAGAAATCCACGATCTTACCATTCAAAGTTCAGTCTTGCAGGTTTTTGAATAGAAAGCCGTGAAAGGAAAAGGAGATGAGAAAAGTACAGAAAAGTAGGAATCCAAGATCGACCATCCAAAGTTCATTTTGTGCTAGTACTGTGCTAGGACAGTTGGGCAAAACTATAGATAGAATATCCTCTAGAACCATGAAAAGACTGATTTTTTAAAGGATGTTTGGGATTAAGCATGTATTTGTGGTGCTCCCTGCCCCTTCCTCCACATCTACCCATCCAAAGTTCATTCTTGGAGCTGTTTGAAAGCAAACTTTAAAAGGAAAATGGCATCTAAAAAGTAGGAATCCAAGATCTTACCATCCAAAGTTGAAATTGCAGGTTTTTGAAAAGAAGCAACAAAAAGAAAATGGGATGAGAAAAGAAGGAAATCCACGATCTTACCATTCAAAGTTCAGTCTTGCAGGTTTTTGAATAGAAAGCCGTGAAAGGAAAAGGAGATGAGAAAAGTACAGAAAAGTAGGAATCCAAGATCGACCATCCAAAGTTCATTTTGTGCTAGTACTGTGCTAGGACAGTTGGGCAAAACTATAGATAGAATATCCTCTAGAACCATGAAAAGACTGAATTTTTAAAGGATGTTTGGGATTAAGCATGTATTTGTGGTGCTCCCTGCCCCTTCCTCCACATCTACCCATCCAAAGTTCATTCTTGGAGCTGTTTGAAAGCAAGCTTTAAAAGGAAAATGGCATCTAAAAAGTAGGAATCCAAGATCTTACCATCCAAAGTTGAAATTGCAGGTTTTTGAAAAGAAGCAACAAAAGGAAAATGGGATGAGAAAAGAAGGAATCCACGATCTTACCATTCAAAGTTCAGTCTTGCAGGTTTTTGAATAGAAAGCCGTGAAAGGAAAAGGAGATGAGAAAAGTATAGAAAAGTAGGAATCCAAGATCGACCATCCAAAGTTCATTTTGTGCTAGTACTGTGCTAGGACAGTTGGGCAAAACTATAGATAGAATATCCTCTAGAACCATGAAAAGACTGATTTTTTAAAGGATGTTTGGGATTAAGCATGTATTGGTGGTGCTCCCTGCCCCTTCCTCCACATCTACCCATCCAAAGTTCATTCTTGGAGCTGTTTGAAAGCAAGCTTTAAAAGGAAAATGACATCTAAAAAGTAGGAATCCAAGATCTTACCATCCAAAGTTGAAATTGCAGGTTTTTGAAAAGAAGCAACGAAAGGAAAATGGGATGAGAAAAGAAGGAATCCACGATCTTACCATTCAAAGTTCAGTCTTGCATGTTTTTGAAAAGAAAGCTGCGAAAGGAAAAGGAGATGAGAAAAGTATAGAAAAGTAGGAATCCAAGATCGAGCATCCAAAGTTCATAATTGAAGGTTTTTGAATGGAAAACTGTGTTTGGAAGGAAGAGTGCATGAGAAAAGTAGGAATAGCTGATCTGACCATCCAAAGTTCATTCTCGCAGCTGTTTGAAAAGGAAACTTGGAAGGAAAATGGAAGGAAACAAATTGGAATGCACGATCTTACCATCCAAAGTTCATAATTGAAGGTTTTTGAATGGAAAACTGTGACAGGAAAAGGACATGAGAAAAGCAGGAATCAAACTTTGAAAGGAACATGGCATGAGAAAAGCTGGAATCCACGATCTTACCATCCAAAGTTCACAATTACAGATTTTTGCAGGGAAAAGTGTGAAAGGAAAAGGACATGAAAAAAGTAGGAATCTACGTCTACGATCTTACCATCCAAAGTTCATTTTTTGCAGCTGTTTGAAAAGGAAAATTTGAAAGAAAAAATAAATTGGAAGGTTTTGAAAAGGAAAGGAAAAAAAAACATTTTGAGAATCCTGGAGTAGATTTTGGAATATTCTATCTAGGGGGTCCGAATATATAGTTTAGTATTGGGTCAAAAAACCCTGGCTTTTTTCAAAAAAAAAACGCCCCCTACGAAACTGGATTCTATCTACTCCAGGATTATTATATATATATATAAGCTTTTATGGTTTAGCCATTTGAAATCCATCATATTTTGTGGGAAGCGTTGAGACTTGCATAGGAACAATGATTAAAAAAAACGTGTTCTGCAACGTTGCCTCCCAGGTGTCAAGGAAGAATTGCGTGAGGTCCAGCAGATCGTGGCACCTCGGCAAAAGCGGGTTTTGGATAAAAGCAGCTGCGTAGAATAGGGGAAAACATGGAAAAAAAACATGAAAACTGATCCATTTACAATGGTACAAAAATTATCAATTTCTATGTTGTTTTGTTCATACGAAGAATAGTTTTGTTCATATTCCGTTAGCATACATGTCTTTTGTTCTTTGCTATTTTGTTTGGGCCCTTTTTTATATACGACCTCCCTGCGACGTCGCTGTGAACTGTGGTTGGTACGGGGATCGTCCCCAAATAGTCGATTTTTAAAGTCGGTGATTGTTCTGCTAGCTGTGGAACAACTTGGCTAACGTTCGGGGGCCACACCTTGCAGTTGTTGTGAGCTATTGTCAGCTTCAAGATTGTTCTATTGCAGCGCCATTATATTCGAAATTCTTTCAAGGCGATGTTCCCATGATTTTCCGGTAATTAAGATGGCTCAGTATCCATCACCAAATCAAAACCAAGGCCACCTACGCAGCCTTCGCCGCGCTGCGCGGCGACGCCCGGGTGGTGTCTTGGGGCGAAGCCGAGTCGGGCGGCGACGCGCGAGAGGTGCAGGCGGGTGGTGCGCTGTGGGAAGGATTGGGGGATGTGGCTGAATAGAGGTTTAATGGGATTTCATGGAATTTAACATGCTAAAAATCTCCATTTCAACAACTTCAACACCCATTCAATGGACCATTCCGATCAAAATCTTGCCTGTTTCAAAAATCCCTGAGATGTGCTTAACATAGTCCAATAGTACCAGAAGGATTGGATTGGCATGACATGCTTACAGCATGGGTTTTAATAATCATTGTTATGAGATTTATTGTTGGACTTTGTTTTACTGGGAATACTGACCACTCCCCCGGAAACACAATCCATCATAATACCCACAACACCTTATGGCGTAATAAGCCGATGATTGTTCAACCCTCGTGTCACACTATCAAATCCACCACTGCTCAAACCTTTTCATGCAGAAAATGCTGAAATTAGTCAAGGGTGGTATGTAGCTGCTCTTAAGATAGCCACTGCACACGGAAGAGGGGTCAGTTGCCCTTCTCCCTGTGCACTCCGGAGCGCTCAGGAGTGCACACCGCCTCTCCCCACCAATCCTTGGGCCATGGATTTTTGATTGCACAGCCCCTCTTTGATTTTTTTAGAGCCGCTCTTAAGATAGTACCAGTGAGGTGGTGTGCAGTCCGGAGCGCTCAGGAGTGCACAGGGTGTGCAGTCCGGAGCGCTCAGGAGTGCACAGGGGAGAGGGGAAACTGACCCCTCTCCCGTGTGCAGTGACATTTTAAGTTTAATTACTCAATTTTCTCGATTATGCACTTTACTACTAGTACATCCAATATCGGAACAAGTTGCCCTCTCATTTTTCGCATCTCCCTAGTCAGTGAGCCACACCTAGACGTTTACATCCAGTTAGAATATCTGGCCAGATCAGCTTACTACATAGCATGTTGACAAGGGTTTGTTGTTTTGCTGCTTATGGGTGTATGATGGTTTATGCGTGTTTTCAAAGAAACCGATCGGGGACCACTAGACTACCTTAAGTCCACCATCGAAATTTATTCATAAAAATGCTGTAATGTGGGTAAAACATTGCCATAAACCATCAAATCACCATTTTCATGGCTGGTATATATATATATATGTATGTATATATATATATGTATGTATATATATATATATAAACAATTTTCTTACATGGGTGGTTTGTGACAGTTTGTGACATTGTTTTACCCATATTAATGGGATTTCACCAACACAAAATTGTGTGTTTCTTGTTTCATTAAGGATTCAAAGGGAATGTATACTTGTGGATCTTATGGAATACGATTGGCTTTAACTATCCTCTACGGTTTCAAATGCTTCCTGAGAAGGTACGGCGAACCCCCCAAATCATACGCCAGTCATGCTTCCGAAGGTACTGGATCGAAAGAGATCATTGATATACCTAGCGGTTAGTTGTTGTGTTTTTTTTTGTGAAAGTGTGATTCATACATGACAACTAGAAGCTGAAACTTGCAGGGGAATTGAGAACCAACCAGTATATAAGCTTAAGATCACGACTTCAGCACGACGTCACCTATCGACTCATGATGTTTTATTCTTATATCCCAAATGTTTATGGTTATAGATCCCATCAAATCCTTAAATCCTTTTGTTGGGAAAATCCACTACTTGCGGAATTTGTAGGGAATATTTTTTGGTCCCTTCAGCAGATCCAAGTAAATCTCAAATTTCTGTTGATTTAATGCATGGTTCTCTCACAAGTGCGACCCTGGACAGGATCAGCTCGTGGACGTGCTGCAGATCGTTTCGACGGGCTATGCCTTCGCTGCGCTACGCCGTGACGGGCGCGTAGTTACGTGGGGCGCCCACGATTATGGAGGCTATCCGTTGGTTTCGGGTGAGCAAATTTGAGTCATGGTGTCCTATTAGAGGTTCATAGACTTCATATAGATCATAATTGATGATGTTTGATTTAGAGGGGAGTCAATGTGAGTCAATGTGCAGCCAGTTGGAGCTACGAATATAAGTCCATATTAACCAAAAGTGCCAGGTCCATGCGGATCATGCGAGGCCTATCGCCTTTTTGAGGCGACAGCAGCAGCTGCAGCGAGCGTTTGGAGAACGTCACGGAGCTGCACGCCAGGCACGGTGCATTCGCAGCGTTGCGAAAGGATGGCGAGGCGGTCGTGCCTCAGATGCGGGGTTTAACCCATGGTAACCCATAGAAAAATGGTGACTGGCATTTGGAGCTGATTGATGATAGCTAAGTTAAGTTGATGCACATAACTTGGTGAAGGTGGGGGATATATCTATAACATTTTGAGGTCCGAAAACCAACTTAAAACAGTGTGCCAATGGTAAAACACAATGTGTTCGGTTTTGAGCAACCTTCCAAAACAGGTTCAGGACAGGATGATTTTAGATCGACTATTGATTGGATTACGCTGGATTTTGCCATTCTCTCTTTTTTTCTCGGGGGTGTTTTATAGATCTGGCTGGTTTTAAACATGGATCATCCACATAGGACAAGACGGGGATTGTGTAGAAGTTGCTGGCATTGAGCTTATATGTTTTCCAGATGCTCCCAGTAACACGGGCCATGCGCAGCCCTGGTTGCATGCCTGATCATCTCAAATTTTCAGCAAGTCAGATAACAAGAAACGCCCTGTTTGCGGGACCCCTCTCCAAACCAGGGATTCTTGGGGAGGTGTCGGTTGTCTTAAGGGAAGGGGCTATGGAGTCAGATTGGCATTTGGATCTGAAACCCGCTCAGGTCTGGGGCAAGGCCCATTATGGCGGTGACTGCAGCAGCGTCACGGGCCAGTTGACAGACGTTCGAAGGAGGGCAACCGGGCAGTTTGGGACACCCCCGGGTTTTGGGGATTGGATCTCCCAATTTCTGTTGCGTTCAACCCTTCGATTTGCCATAAAAACATTACTTTGCCCACCACTTGCGGAATCAACTGATTGGGTTTGTCATTTTTGATTTTAAGACCTCTGATGCAAGTCCAAGCATCCTTTTGAGACTCAGTTGTTGCTACTTAAACTAAACACCTACCTGTTTTTTGTATTTCTTCATTGGTGGACTTAACAGGGACCATGATTGGACTCCCGCTGCCATACTCCAAACTATTCCCATACTACTCCCATATGCAGGTTTCTTTGAAATTCTTGGAATGGGGGATCCAAAAAAAACATGGGTTTCAATACTAAAATGGTCTAACTTTGGATGATTCGGGGCCCATCCCATTTTAGAAGAAAACTTTCATATGAACCCCCATATCTTGGGGCTCCCTATGAATTCCCCCCGACACTTGGCAGGATCTGCGCTGGATTCTTCGCCTTCACTGTCATTAAGGCGAACAGAGAGGCCAGCCTTTAGCAGCCGAACACTCAGAAAAAGCAGTTGGAAGCCCAATTATGACAGGCCCAAATGGACAAACGAAGCATGGGATCATTTCCTTATAAATATCCAACCTCTCTTTGATTTTGTTTGGTGGTTGTTAACTGATTGTTTTAAATTTACACTGGCTTGACTGATATGTTGCAAGGTAGTTTATTATTGTTTTTTCCTATTCTAGGTTATTTGGACTTAACTGACCGGGCTTTTTTATGGGGACAAGGGGGATAAACAAATGGGATATTTCATGGGATACATACATAGCCAACAATGTGCAGTGTAAATGATTTTGGGAGTATCTCGGAACTGATGATGACTATATATACGTCCATTGGTCCATTCTATGGCAAGTTCAATCGCGAAAATAATGAACAACCATGAGATGTTGGGTGCTCTATCTTCAGGCCAAAAAAAACTTGGTTGACCCGACTGGTACATGTTGGCAAATTTTACCCCAAACCGACCCCAAGCTTGCTTTTCTCAAAATGACACATGTTTGAGACATCCCATTGATGGGGATTTGATCTTTAGCTTTAGCTGGCTGTGAAGGAAACAAACCAATTGGCTTATAGATGGAGGAATGATGAAGGAGTTGTTGTCCGAACAAAATCACCTCCAACGTCTTCTCTGGCCAAGGGGTTCCTGGTGAATGTGTGACTACGTGAATTTGGCCATCAATGGTTGGAACATTGGACACCAAAAAAGTTGTTGTGGGCCGGTGCTTTCCGGCTGCGTGTCAAAATGATCTATATATCTAAAATACCTATCTATCGAATACGCCTAGATATACATACATATCATACTTTTATTTTTTATCGCTCAAAATTAATTGGCCAATAGGTTATTCAAGGTTTGTCAAGGCTATATATATATATATGTTTACATTAATTTATGTGTCTTTTCTCTTCAAAATTTAGGTTACTTATTTCACCTCTTGTCTACCATGGCGACGTCAACGTAGGTCCTCACCTGGGGCAACGTCGACGTGGAAGCCTGCTGCCCAAATCAGCTGACGCTCAGCACGGAGCTGCTGGATCTGCAAGCCTCGCACTCGGCCTTCTGCGCGCTGCTGGTGGATGGTGCCGGGACGGGAGAAGCGGCGCGTTACGGGATTTGACCCGGGAAAAAATTAGATTTTTTCCATAGAAATGAGGATGAATCAATGATTAATGAGGTGGACATGTGCACATATCTTGGGATTTCATGGTGGTATAAAAGGTAATATATTGGATTAACCAAGAATCTGTGGGTTGGTCTGTTTGAAAACAGGGTATGAACCCCCAAAAAGGCAAGTTCCACTAGGGAAACTGATGATAAACCAGTGGCTTTGGGAGCACCTTATCTATAGTCATGCTTAGGAAAATGCGGGTTCAAATGCCAAAAAATTGGATTGAGCCACTCACACAAAGAGGGGGCTAAATAAATGTACATAAACAGCAACGAAAGGGTTTTGAATTGTAGCCAGCTGCAAAAGGTAGTAGTTTACCAGAATAATTTGGTTCCAACTTTCAAACAAATGGATGTCATTGGATATTTAACCAACAACAACTGACACACACATGTGTTTGGCTAGTTTGTGGCGACATCGTGGTCGACACCACCATAGATTTGAGAGAAGATGGCGAGAAACATGCAAAATGGCTAGGCAAATTCTGGTTAGGATAAGATTTAATATATATATATATAATATTTATATCACATATGAATATGTAGACAAATGATCCAGGAATATCCTTGATAGATGGCATATCTTAGTGTCTTAGTACTTGGTTAATATGTATGAACTGTTCAGAACATACGAACTTCCAAAGAGAGGCAGAACAAGTAAGACAACAAGCATCCACTAGCCCTAGGTCAAACTATATCAAACTATCGCTTATAAATGTCATATGTTCATGTTGTTTGGTTTTTCCTTTCCCATCCTTTCCTTAGCCATCGAAAACCTTCGTGACGTGGGGCGGTCATCCTCCAGGCACGGCTGTGACGTGGGGGGATGAGCGTTTTGGAGGGAGCGCCTTGGTGAGGTTCTGCGGGGCAAGGGCAAGGCATCTCAGAAACGTTCTGACCCAGCTACCCTCTGGTATGGAAAACCACCATATTCAATCATATTCATGGGTAAACCAACTATAAATGGCAATGTTCAATAGCTATCTTAGTTTACCAGAGGGTTTTGAAAAAATGCGGAGGCCTTGAAATTGGAGCCTTGGATAGACATGAACAACCTAAGTATGTCATGTTATTAACTTTGTTAACGCAAATATTTCGGGTCAAAAAGATGGTTAGAAGGGCGAACTTTCTGTTTGTTTTCAGCACTCCCCCAGGTGGACCCAGTGGAAAGCTCAGTGGGCTGACAGCCATCAAAGCGAAGCTTGGTGAGAGTTTGGCGTCGTGCTATGACACAAAAACATGCAGAAATCAATTGTTTGGACCAGGAAAAAGAAAACAGAAATCAAAAATGATACCCAAACTTATCTCAGAATCATGCATGTTTGAAAACACACATGAGTGTTTTCTGTTCCAACAATGGCCGTTTGGGTCATTCGGTTAGATTCTTAAGCTACATGATGGACATGTTGCGGCTGGCCATCAGTTCCCAACATTTACCCTTGGTATGTTGCGGGACGTACCTCTTCCAAGCCAGTGGAGCCAGCTTCAGGGATGCCAGTGGATATTCCATCCATAGCAGTTGACAAAGCCATACTTCGCCAAGTTGGTTTATGGTGACGAAAAAACTATGGTAACTATAAACATAGGTAAGAGAAACATCAACATATTTCCCAAGTGAGATGTTCCAATTATTTTCCCCTCAATATAACTATGGTAACTCTAAAAATGGGGATGTTCCCCCACAACTGGGCCACATAGGGGGATGCCACTAAGGCTACTTTAGCGTTGACAAGATGGAGGGGGAAGGCAGAAACCCCAAGGCCCCAAGAATAAGAAAAACATAAGAGCGAACAGCTACTATAGCCATAAGCAGTGAATAACTATAAATTTACGATAAGTATGGCGCATACATAAGTTAGGTGGGTGAACACAGACATGCTCAACTAGGTGGCACCACTTTTTAGCTATGGAGAATCGCCGTAAGCCAGTAGTGGGATTGGTTTTTAGGGCTAGGCCATGGCTGGTGTGTAGGAACAAAGACAGACATGCACATATGTAAATACGTACAGAGATATATATATATATATATATACACATGTGTGTATACATGCGTATGTGTGTTCCTATTAAATTTCATTTGGGTGATTTTACCACATGCACAGTCCGCTTACCAACCATCAACTGAATGGATTGCAGCCATACGCTTTGATTTTGAGCGTTTTTGGGATTCGATGGGTTTTACCGCAGATCCTTCAGCAAGAAACCAACAGACACCACCAAATTTAGTAACTTCGGGGATCATCCCCATCTGGAAAGTCTGTAATGATTTCCCTTGAAACACACAGGAAAGATCCTGCCCGTGGTGGGGCTCGGCCATCGCCCAGCCATCCTAGGAATGCTTATGCCTTTGCTGCCCTCACAGCCACTGCGGAAGTGTTTCTCGTCCAAAGTTGTTTCCACCCTTTAAAAAAATCGATAGCCTCCATGAAAAATCCTACATGTCCATATATGGCCATGAAAAATCTTACGCCCACACATGTGTATATATATATATATAAATCTCCCTCTCTCTTTATATTTACACGTATATATAATATATTATATATATGTGTATATATATATATATTTATTTAAAGATATGTATGACATATACATATATATATGGTACCCCCCGAAACCTACCTTTTTGACATATTCATCAGATGGTTGGGTCAAAAGTGGGTTACCTTACATACACGCTAAGGGTATTTTTTTGTATATATATATTCTAATAGTGTAATAAGTATGCTTTTGAGACTGATTGAACTTAACTTCAATGATAGCATTCTGGGAAGAACGTGTGCAGAATGCATGCTCTGCAACCTGGGAAGAATGCATTCAGAATGCGTTCTCTGCTAAAAACCAAAAACCAAAATTCCCCCAAGACTCCTGAGCAAATCTGGGTTCGAACCAAAACCAAGAACCAAGAACCAAGATTCCCCCAGGACTCCTGAGCAAATCTTGGTCCGAACCAAAACCAAGAACCAAGAACCAAGATTCGCCCAGGACTCCTGAGCAATTCTTGGTTGTTGTTTCTAAATCTAAGATTCCCCAAAACCAAGAACCAAGAACCAAGATTCCCCGAAGACTCCTGAGCAAATCTTGGTTCTTGTTTCTTGGTTTTAAATCTAAGATTCCCCAAAACCAAGAACCAAGAATCAAGATTCCCCAAAGACTCCTGAGCAAACCTTGGTTCTTGGTTATTGGTGTTAAATCTAAGATTCCCCAAAGACTCCCGAGAAGATCTTGGTTCTTGGCTCTTGGTTTTAAATCCAAGTTTCCCCAAAGACTCTTGAGCAAATCTTAGATCTTAGACCTTGGATTAGGGAAAGAATGCATTCTGAACGCATTCCTGTGGAAATGCATCCATCTTCGGTTTCCTTTTAAGTAGATGGGTTTGATTTAACTACCATGAAAAAATCAACTTTGGGTCTTTTTTCCAAGCTTGAAAAATAAATAAACACACTGTGCCACAGCAATGTTGCATTTTCTTGAAGGAATGTCCCACAATGTTTAAGGAATGCATCACTCTTGTCAATGGAAAACTGTAAAAAGGTAATGCTACACTACAACTCTTTTCGAACTATATTGCGTTTCCAGTGAATACTGCATAGACTAAGAGCGCTTTCTTATTGAAGTAATGCTGTGCCCTTTCAAGTCACTTTTCTTCAGAAGCGGCACTGTCAATCTCACAAAGGTAGCATTTGTGATGTTTTGTTTAAGCAAAGACGGCTCACATTTGTTCATTTCAAGTATATACACAATTCACTGTCAAAACGCTGGTGCTTTAGGAAGCACAATGTAGCAGTACTTGTGCCACATGTGCAGCATGCTCTTTAAACTCTTTAAAACATCCAACTTGTTTTTCGACAAATATCGTGTCACTTAGAGGAAAACATGTATGTTAGTATGTTCTTCAAAGTAGTGGCTAAGTAATGGCTACATTTCTGAAGATAGCCTTCTTTGATTTGAAGAGATACGGCATTTTATTTGGAAGATGCCTTGTATGTTGCAGGGACTGTTTGTGCAACGTGTTTCTTCCTTCCCGAAGTATTGTACTTAGTACGTTATGACATGGGCCTGTGAACTAAGAATGCATATTACATTTTATTAAAAAAAAACTTGTTGATCGAAATGAAGAGATATATTATATTTTCAAGAGAAGTGGCTTTCTGCAAAGGAATGCTGCCTATTCAAAAGGAGTGCTCTTTTTGCCCTTTGAATGAAAGCGTCCGTTTGTAAAGCCTGCTCTTGTCACTTAGAACTGGTTCTTCAAGAAAAGGATGCATGTTTGATCGTCTCTTGTAGTCATTTCCAGTGTTTTCACTGCCCTTTTCAGGTTTTTTGGGGAAAAGACCCAAAGTTGAATTATCTTTTTCATGTGGGTTGAATCACTACTTGAGGGAAACTTTGCAGAGAGGTTGAGGTACTTGGAGGTACGTAAATTATACTTAAGACATAGTTTGGAAGGGGTACGAACTAAGAGGTCCTAGGACCTCCTAAGATCCACACATCATCCAAAGTATTGAGCCACTGCAGTAGCACAACAAGAGAGAATCTACTACATAGGAAAAAAAGGCCAAAGAAATATCTACCATATTGATAATCAAATAATATGCCTGCAACATCTGAAAGCATACAAAATCCAAAATTTCACGTGTCACAAGAAGGAACAAAAACATTGTAAAAACCCGAGGGAAGCTAGGTAGTAAGGAAAAAATGCCAAAGAAATATCTACCATATTGATCATAAAATAATATGCCTGCAAGACCTGAAAGCATACAAAATCCAAAATTTAATGTGTCGCAAAAAAGGAATAAAAACACTGGAAAAAACAAATGTAAAGCTTAAAATTGACATTTGCCAAAATGGCGTGCGCATTCTGTCAACGTTTGAATTGAAACCCTGTATTGGGAACACAATACGGTAGCCGAAAACGCTGCACATACCATCAAAATATGTCATTGTATCTACACATGAAGCATCATGGCTCATCATGATCAAGCATCCAAAGTCTTCAAATGCATGAAAACATGCTGGCTGCTTTTGAAGGCAAACACCAACAAAAAACATTGTAAAACAAATTGAAAAATCGAAAACGGTAGGTTTCGGGGGGTTAACATATATATATATATGTATGCATATTTGGATTCAGGTCCATAGTTACTTGTGAATGTAAAGATTGTTCGGGCTTGCAGAGTATACAAAGATACTGCGTGCAATGTCCATCTTGCTTGCCAGAGTGTGCCCGCTTTCAGGAAAATGGATATCAATCAACTATTCCTACATCAAATATGATTGTACACGAACTTAATTTATTAATTATTTATAGCAACCAAAGCAAGGTGAACAACGAATGCGACCTGCAAGTCCTTGTGTTGGTTTACTCGTGAGAATCTTGTGAAGATACCCTGCATCCATCTGCATCTGATCGGCAACAATCACATTTTTCCAAGGTTGTGCTCCCACATAGCGAACCTAGTGAACTGTTTGTGGTTTCATAACATGATTTATCGATATATCCGCCACAAACCATGGTGAAGCCAGTGAACCTTTTCCACCAATCCTAGGAGGGATCACCCTGCGGGAGGTTCACTTAACCCGAATGCTAAGGATTGCTTGGGGAAACCCCTTCTGCGGGGGGGACTGCAGCGCTGTGCCTTAGCGATTTGTTTTCGGGGACAGGATGGGATAGGCTGCGCAAGAAATCCACGTTTTTGGCAATTGTTTTTTTGGGATGCAGAAAAGTACATGGTGCTACGACTCAACATCATCCCTCACAACTAGCGTTTGTTCCGCCAGAATCATTCGAACGAAGCAGCTGACTTCGCTATCTTTTTCGGAACACCCGCAAGTTGGAGATGAAGTCAACACCATGGGACAAGATGGTGACCATAACTAGCACCACGTTTGATGATTACCTCCCCATGCTTCCTCTTTCTTGATTATTAAGTCTCATGTCCAATGATGAATTCATCATGTTTGATCGTGTTTGATGGTTACTTTTCTGTAAACAAATTTATATATATATATATATATGAATGAATGTCTATTGTTTGGCAGGCCTGGGTGGACAGTGGTCACTTCTTGGTGGTTGGTTAAATAACGAATAACAAATGCCAATTTTGGCTCAAGTAACTTGATCCAAAGTAGCAGCATTGTTTTCCTTGCCCTCCCTAAATCAGGGATTTTTGACCCACCCTGTTATCGGGTCCCCTGTGGGGTGACCTTGTAACTTGCAGTCTGCGCTGCAGATGGGTTCTTTGCGCAGGACACTGCGAACACCTACAGATTGAAAGGGGTTTAACTGTCCCAGTGGCGGGGTGTGAAAAGATATCTGGATGTGATCCAATATATCTCAGCCTGACTGATACAGGTTGCCTCCACCAGCAGGGCTGATGGATCTGTAGGCGTACCCAATGCATTATCCTGGAAGGAATACAGGTTGGAAGACACAGTGAGAAAGATGAGCGGAAAAAGAGCGAGCGTGCTAGAGAGTCTGAGGGTTAAGAACTTAACCTAGTTGACTTATATTCCAACCTTTAAGGAATGTATATATATATATACATATATATATATTATTTATTTAATTATACAGATAGATAGATGTGAAACCCACCATCTGTCTGTAGATCATTTTCCTAGGAAAACCATGGTTTTTTTTTTCGCATCTAGGTAAACCTTTACCCCAGCCATGCAATCCTCGAGGTGCAGGAGCAGCTGCACCAGGTGCAGGAACTCTTCGCAGCTCAGTATGCCTTCGCAGCCTTGCTGTCCCATGGAGGTGCCGTTGTAGCCATCAACGCAACGGGGACATCATGGGGTACAAGAGGCCCGAACGTGATGTTTGTTGGTTTAACACCATTCACTATATTAACTACGTATATATATATATATACATGTGTGTGTTAAGTTTATTTGTTTTTGTTGATTGATTTATGTATCTGTTCACTTATATTTCTCAGAAACAACAATAAACCTTAGTCAGCCATGTTATAGTCAACTTAGCTATTCACTGGGGGCTATGAAAAATATACAACTGTTGGTGTTAATCCTCGAAACATGCAGGGTGTACAATGATTATTGCCGCTTTACGGGGATGACAATGGGAATCTAATGGTTGATCGACCCTGGGTCAACTGACTGGATGAATACTTTGGCATGTTCACTGTTTGGGTGTAGATACCATCCGGCTGCTGTGAAATGGTTAGATCATGTCAGATCCCCCATTTTTGGTTGGGTTAAACCCCGGTGTTTATTGGTTTGGGTACAATTCATTGATGGTCATCCTCATGCTGCATGCTTGCAATGTTTCCAGACTACTCTGCACAATCAATGATTTTGGGATGACCCATTGGAGGCTGCCATTGAAAGAAACGCTTCACCCATCAAACATGGCGCAGTCTATCACCATGCAATGGGACAATTTGCGTGTTTGGGGTGGATCAAAATTTCACCTCTGGCCCGCACACGCCGTCCGTAGCAAGATGTTGTCCGGAGGTGTTGTGGCCTGGGGCGATGCGGACAGTGGTGGTGACTGCTCCTGGCTCTCAGCAGAGCTGCAAGATGTGCAGGTTCTGTCCACGGTCGGTTTATCCATGGAATTTCTTGGGGGCCCTTTTGGATCAACCAGGGTAATAGTAGCGCATGATTAGTAAGGGAGTAGACCTACAGTACCCAAATTTCCCAAATTCGATTGCCATAGCCACTTCGCATACTGGGTTACCACCATGGGAGTAGTTTGGGAGGTCGGAATCGGGGAAAGAAGCCTTGGTCCCGATAAATGCCAGCAAGTTGATGAACTGTTATTGTAGCCATCATTCATGGAACATCTAAAAAGGCGACATGGGTGTGGTATGTGTTTAAGGTGCTTGAAGGAAGTTAAGTATATTTCATTGTAACGTATTGCAAGATATCACCCACCCCTAAAAATGTATTTTAGGGGGGGGAGAGGTTGGGGAAAAAAAATGCATTTACCGTTCTCCAAGAATTTGATTCCCCAGGACCCCCCCTAAATACATTATTTGACCGGTGGGTGTACGTTAAATGTAGGATCCATGGGTCGGGATATCCAACGCCCCCCAGGATCTTTTATTTTGGGGGGTGGTTTAATACATTTTACGGGTTTGGTTTTTCCAGGATCCCCCGGAATGCTTAATTTTTTTCTGGGAATACCCTTCTTTGAAAAATGTATTTTAAGGGGGTTGGGTAGCCGAAAAGCACATCATTTTTGGAAAATGGAGGGAATAGATCTGGCTAAGGTAGTCATTGGTACCCCCTGCAATGCATACATTTCAGAATATTTAAGATCAAGTATATTCAGCATCCCCCTTGGAATTTCCTCTACAGAATCGGGAACGTTACTTCCTGGAAAATGGTGCATTTTAACCCCCTGACTTAATAAGGGGTACCTACCCAGTGTCAACGCTTAGTGTCAACGGTTTCAATTTTATAGAGGACCTTGGGGCCTCTAATTCTATAGAGATTTCATGTTGAATACAGCACTGAGGACTAGTCAGCAGAGAGTCTTAGGGACTGCGATTCTACAGTGGGATACGTTCTCTTTGGATGTCTTTGGATGTATGTCATGTTCTTCAATTTTATAGAGAAGCATTGGCAGAACCAATTTCCCACAACAATTCTTTCATCATCCTTCATCATCCTTGATCATCCTTGTATATTTTGGAATCATTTGGAATCTTGACATATTTTTGGAAACTTTTGGATACTTTTGGATACTTTTGGGATATATTGGAGATTTGTTGGAGATCTATCATCAGGGTTTCATCAGTTATCATCAGCTATATTCAGCAAATATGTACAATTTTGACATTTCAATATTTTACAAAAGCAGCTTTTTCTGGTTTACAAAGTATAAAAGTGACATTTTTCATTTTGGATGTGTCTTTCCGCCTTTCTAAAAAAGAGCAAACGGATGGAAACAAAGCGATACAAAATGAAACAAAATGAAACAGAGATTTTTCAGTGAACACTTGGAGCCTTTGAACTCTATAAATTTGGGGGTGCATAAGGCAAGCTAGGCAAGACTGGAGCATTCAGGTCAGCTGTCAATGAAGGAGACTTGGGGAACCTGATTTTATAGAAGGCCAACTAACCCCCCCCCAACCATCTACGAGAGTGACTTGGCGGCATCGATTCTATAGAGATTGTCAACTTGAAAATACCTTGGGGTCTCTGATTCTATAGATGCATTTTCAGAAAGAGGGTCAGGGCCTCCCGGATTATCATTATAATATTGTCAACACCAACACTCTCACTTAATTCAAAGGGGGATATTTCAGCCATTTTATGGCCCATGGGTTTCAGTAGGTTTCCCAGGAAAAAAAGATCAATTGGATTGAGGTGCAGACCCCCCCATGCTTGCATACATTTAGAAAAGTTTATGTATCCATTGGCTCTTGTCAGTGGTGCCCCCCACAAAGCATACATTTTCAGGTTCAATACCCCTACCAATAATACATTTCCAGCATCTGGCACTCATACATGCCTCATTTTGAGAGGTTACCCCCCCCCTAGTTCCCATACATTTTTGGCAAAAAGTGAGGGGGTTAACCCCCCCCTTATGTTCATACATTATCAGAAATGTAGGATCCACCCCCCCCTACTCCTGAACCAGTTGGGGTCGGGGATTGCAAGATGCAATAGTTCCTATGTTTTGGTATCCCGTTTGTGGTTTGCTAGACCCGCATTGTCACATTCCGTGCGTTTCATTTTTGTTGGTTAAACACACCCTTTAGGTGCGTTATCTCTCCATGTTTGTAGATTAAATTCCAATTCGTCATATGTCTGCAGGTGTTCCAACTAGTGTTGATTAACTCAATTACCATTGCTATACCAGCTGGTGCCCCCTAGGTATCTAAGTTGGTTTATAACCAGTTATACAACTAAGACCTATGGCATTTTTCCTTTATATATGTACATAGTTATAAATTATATTGATGTGATTGGGGTGTATACATATATCAACTTATAACTAGGTGGCATCCCCTTGTTTTGCGATGACACTCCCGCCAGGAGGTTTGCTCCTCAGCTCAAGCCTTTTGCGCCCGCACGCGACACGGCCATGTGGTCTGTTGGGGCCGGCGCGAGTTCGGTGGTGACAGCAGCGGCGTGGACGACGATCTGTGGGATGCTGGGACGTGGAGCTCACGAGTAAGCAACATATTGTGGATGGTTGCGAAATCCTGAGTTGGTAGATGGTTTATCCCGTTATACCCCCATTGTTTACAGTGTTTCATCGAAGGAAGTTTAGAAGTCAAACTTCCGACAATATGGACAGATGAAAAGCAGAGCAGGGAAGACGCAGAAGAGAAAGATTAGAAGAAAGAAGAGTAAGAAGAAAGAAGATGCAGATGCGTGAAAAGGTAGGAAAGTCGCGAAACACTGTGTTT